CAGTTGGAACAATATGTAAAAATACAGCTTGTAAAAGATTTCCTTTATTAACTGTCATCATCCACAGAATATATGTTCAAATAAACGTTGTGTAATAACTAAATTTGAGATTAATAGGCCCCTTAAGAAACAGCGAAGTCATTCAGGATAGTCAGTGAAAAATAGCCTGTAAGACTGTAACATGCACATATTGTCCTGCTTACATGCTCTCTCTGGTGTCATTCCCATTTATCAATGTCGGCAGGCTCTGTTCTCATTAAAACACTCTTGCACAAAAGCAACTTAATTTTCTTAAGAGAAGAGGACACCTGATTCAATTTAGTGCTCAAAACCAGGAACTTGAATATATTTTTTTTTTCCTGTCTGAACTCAGATGAATAGTTATGAACAGCAACACAGATTAAACCTTATTAGGTATATTTATATTCTGGTTGCAGTAACAGTGCTGTGGCAAATAGGTTTCTACAGAGATGTAACATCTTGTTATTGGAAACAGCAGTTAAGACATGAGCTGTGGTAACACTTACATGAGATTTTATTTTTAAATACCAGATTGAAGGAGTTGTTTAAAGGGACTCTGCCAACTCATTCAAGTTACTTCTGACATCCTGCCTTCTTACACCTTTTTCGAACTACACTGATCTTTTTGGGTAGATAAAATTTCCTTTTCTATCGTGTTTGGTCAAATAATTTCTATCACTTTCTTCAGTCTTTCTCTTTTTTACCCCCCTTTCTTCTTCTGACAAATAGGAGACATGGGTGTATTAATTTGTAATGGTAGTATGGATGCTGTAAAATCTTACACTACCACATTATGTTCTCTGTCTTCTATTGCATAATCCTGCACTAGAACTGCAAGAGTCCTTGTCTCTTCCCAGTTCTTTTCTGCTCTTCTGGGTTTTCTTTCTTCTTCATTGTGCCTTGTGTGTTAAATAGGATAATTAGTCTTATTGCTGCTGCTTGAGCTGTATATCCCACTAGTGTGCAGTACATCCCCCTAGTGCTCAGGTTTTAATTGCAGGGAATGGCAATACACAACAGCTCTGTGTGATGCCCAGGCTGCTTCCTTCCAGGGTGTTCTGGGGCTGTTTGGTTTCATTACTCTGCATCTGTGGCCTTGACCCTGGAATGTCCTTTCCTCAGAGCAGGGATGACTTGGGGGCAGCCCGGCCCTGGTGTCCATGGGGTGTGCTGTCCCAGCTGTGGGGTGCCTGGGGGTAAGTGTAGGCTTAAATACATCTGGAAGGTTGTCTCCCTAAGGGCTGCCAAATGACACTTGAGGATCAAATGTTTTGGTGTTGAAGCACTATACACATATTGGTGAGGAAATCTCTTGCTTTTTTCTCTGAGGTCCACATACAAAGCTGTGAGGGACTGCTTTTTCCCTGTATTCTGCAGGAAAGTTCCAGTTTAGTTGTTCATAATAATTTCTTTGAAATCCTGCTGATAATGATAAAATGTTGCTGTTTGACCCAGGTGTTCCAAATGTAGCCAGGGTGTCTTTTCCTGTTGTTTAATTTAATCTGGCTATGTTATCAAAACAATATCTAATCTAATAAATTCCAAGATAGTTTAGCTTGGTACCAAAAACAAGGCAATGGAACAAAATTCAGAATGTGTTCTATATTTAATTCTTGAATTCTAAGCACACTTGTTTGATTTGCTGCTCAGTCACATGTACTTGACTGCTGCATGTACTTGATGCTGCTTTTGAATGCATACCTGAAGTGACAGGCTCAGCCCCTTGGTAGTGGCTTTGCCCTTGTCTTCCATCTTTTCCCAACCTTTGTGGCCAAGGAGGACTCTCTTAGATCTCATCACTGCCACTGTAGAAATCTAAGCAGTGTTTTCCATACATATATTCCAGGAAAAGGTGAGAGATGAAGGGCTGGAGCTTTGTGCTAGATTCTGGTATGAGAAAAGTTTCTGCCAAGTGCTGCCAGATAGCTGTCCCTCTGAGGTGGCCTGGTCATTTCTCATTTGGAATTCTCCTTGGAAATGTAGACCTTCAGCATTCCCTCAAGCCCAGTGCCATGCAGAGTTGACTGAAATTGTACCTGCCCAATAAAAACTGAATTTGTTGTTTAATGGAGCTAATATGTACAATTGTTAACTCAAGTGATGCTGTCCATGCTCTTGTAAGAGTCCTGGCAGTGACTTTCAGTCATGTTTCTTGAGCTGATGCAAACCTAGAAAATTTGTCTTGTTGATTCTGCTGCTTTTGAACATGGTCTGACCTTACATTTCAATACATGTCTATGCACCTACCTTTTGAAAGGACTTCACTGAGGATTTTACGGAGACCTCTCCCCTCATACTAATGGTAAATGCAATTAATGGTTTGCAAACACATGCAAATCTGAATTTGGAGTAATTAATGGTTTGCAAACACATGCAAATCTGAATTTGGAGTAATTAATGGTTTGCAAACACATGCAAATCTGAATTTGGAGTATTATAAAGACATCCAAATGTTTTCATGTTTTATTGTTTCATTTAAGCTGGCTGCAGACACTCTGATGTCTGCCAAAGCACAAAAAGAGCAAACACTAAAAAAAGTGATGCATTAATAGTGACTAATAAATGTTTCAAATAGAAAATGAAGAGCCTGGCTGTATCGTGTGTCAGCACTAATGTTTATTTGTATCATCCCTCTAAGGATTTCAGAGTGCTTTTTAAGGAATGAATTAATTTTGACAATGCCCTGTGAGGTATGTATCCCTTTGATAGAAAGGAGCACGAAAGTGTTTAAATTCTACAGGGTTATGCTACTAGGTATGTTTAATCACAAATTGGAGCAGTTGATTCAGTTTACTACCAGTTTGTTTAAATTGAACCAGAATCACAAATATAAGCCCCAGGTTTGTGAGTATGAGAAGAAATTACTTCTAAATTTATTTTGCAGGGAAAATGTTTACATAGAAAACTGCAGATAGAGTAATTGACATATGTAAATCCTCCCTCACTGAGGCAAATCATCTGGATGATTGTATCTTAATGTGCAGTCTTCCTGGTTTAGTTTTTTTTTATTTTTTCCCCTCTTCTTTTGCCTGTAATGAGTGTTTAATCATCTGCTCTGGATAATTTCTGACACTTCAGAGAAAGAGAGTTAAAAATTGTAAACTTGTGTACTCCAGAACTGGTTGTGAATTATGACTTTTTCACATGACTGGCTAAACAACTGAAGCATGAAATTTGTCCAAGGTTGTGGTCTTAGTCTCTGTGCTTGAGATTATTTGAAAAAAACAAATATCTTCCAGATGGATCAGGAAGGAATAAAAGAAGTTTGATAATGGGCAAAATACTATCATCTAGTATCTCTCCTTAACACTTTTCCAGACACAGAATTTCTACTGAAAGTGTAATTGCAGCCTGTTCTAAGTAAAATAATGTGATATCTCTGGATGATCCCCAAATGAGGACTGGTAGCCATGTTCTAGGTTTGTGTGGATGAGTGTAGTGTGTCTTTCCTTGCTACATGAAAGTGTCAGTTACAAAGCTTCAAATACAAGTAGAAAGTCCTGATTTAATTCACACTTGTTGAAGAATTGTTTATACTACTCATGCTTCCTTTCAGCTATGATCTCTGGCAAGAGAAGCTGTTTGGACTTGTGCCTCCTTTTTTTTTTTATGTTCGAAAAAGAAATGCTGATGAGAAAGAGGTGTAAAAATATGTTACTGTAGTTTACAAGTGTCAACTATAATGTTTTATTTAGCTGTATCTATTCAGATGCTCCCTCCACAACATGGAGTGCCATATGCCATTGTCCCTGTTAGTGAGCAAGTCAGCCAGGGTTTCCCAGTCTGCATTTGTTTTTGTATTTGGGCCACTGAGGAGCTGTGGTCCAGTGCCATCTTTTATTGATAGGGCCAGCAGAGGAGGAATCTAATGAAATTATCAAAGCTTTGAATTAATTATGAACTTGAATAAGAAAGCTAAGCTCTCTAGAGCCAAGGATCTCATTACCCATTCATTTTCATTGCATCCTCTTATGGAGCAGAAGGCAGGTTCAGCTACTGCTCCTACCCAGATTTTGGACTTTATTCAAACTTGCTCAACTCACTAGCAGCCTCTTGTTATTAATCTGTGGCTGGAAGTGTCCAGGGTGATTAATTGGACTCTAAACCGGCACGTAAATGGTAGATTTCCCTCCTCCCCTTCCTCTTACCTTTGCCGTGTGGCTTTTCATCATCAGACTGGCTGCCATACAAGAGTTTCTGTTCTTTCTTGGTAATTGGGGAAAGCTATGCAAGACTCAAGTTTTAACTTCCTGGAATTTAATGAGTTCATATTAAGAAATAATACCGCTATCTTGTATTTCCTGGATATTTAGGTAAGCACAAACACTTCTTAAGTCATTATCAAAACTGTTTATTTTCCTATTTTAAAAGACTGTGGAGTGAAAAATAATGACATTTTGGCCTCAGAAGTATGGGAGATTGTGGGATTTCTTTTTGTTGCATTTTTTGTTATTCCTATTTTAAATTTGTTTGTCAAGCTACAGGAAATTCTCTTTGTCAATACTTTATTATGCTGAACTATTAAAGTAGTTTATTTACCAGATTAATATTTCATTAAATTTTTAAAAAGTGTATGAAAATGCAGTATTTTAGTTAAATCAGGTAATGTTTAGTTTAATTAATAGGTCAGTATATGAAAATGTTAGTGGCAAATTAGAGCACGAATAGTGAGACCAAGCTTCTGTGTAATATTCTTAGTTCTTGTGGATATTCCTTTTCACTCTATCAGCAAGGATTTTCTTCTCCTCCTGCTTTTGTTCCTTTCAGCACATTATTTATGAATGCATAAACCAGAATCCATCAGTCTTCATAAGTTACAGGCGACTGGCAATTTTTTAAGCAGTGGCTAACTGCCTAATGGTCTCTGTGTATGTGTGTATTTGGAGGATCTAATAGCTTGGTGGGTGGGGGAAGGACATTTTGTTCTTGCACTGTAGCTATTGCACCATTGGTGATATTTATCCTTTTTTTCTTTCTAGGCAGCTGCTATATTTAATTCCGCTTTTGGAAGTTTTTTGGTAAGTAACACAGTATTTATAGCAAGTGCTTTAATAGTCTCATTTTTAACAGTATCATTGGTGTGTTTGGTTTTTTTCACATTATTGTTGATGGAATTTTGCCATTCAAATGGCAAAAATTTGAAGCATCTTTCAGTTTATGTCACCATGCCCTTAAATACGGATATTGCAATTTCTTTTCTTTTGTTAAACTCTTGAGAAAGGTAGTGAATAAATTGTCTCTGCTCATGATAAATTAATAATGTGCAAACACATCTTAATTTTCTCCTTAATGGGTTAACAGAATCTATTATTATGCAGATGTTTCAGACATGGGCATCAATATATTGATTTTTCTAATAAGGCCCATCAAATACTCATTATTTTCTATCAAGAGGCCATGGATTTTGAAAAGAAAACATGACCCAGCTGATCAGAGAGTAGATGCTAATTTACTCAGTGACTTGTCATTTGTTTAGCATATTTTACTGTCAGTGAAGCCACTCGATGTCTCTGAGGAACACACTAAAATAGCTGGATATGGGAAAGCAATCAATCCAGCTGGAAATATAACTGTTTCTTTAAAAAGCAAAAGCAGTATTTGTGGTCCTGAAGGTCTACAAACATTTGGAAAGGACATAGTAAAGAACACTAAATATATTTATGAAGAAAGGAAGAATAGATTTATTTTACTGATCTGTTGCTTAGAGAGATACTAATGAATGCTAAGTAAAAAATTATGTGTTGACTGATTGTTTATTTAGGCAGCTAATAATTGAATTTGCTCTTACTAAAATTTATGCATGTTTAGAGGTAAGTGTTTATGATGCCAGTCTTGTGTCCCAATTTCATACTGTGATGTATAAAATGAATGAATGATAAAAAAATCCAAATTAAAAAATTGAAATAAAAACTGTGAGTACGAAATAACTCACTTTTTATTAATGGCTTTTTTTAAAATTTTATGAAAAGCTGACTTTTAGAATCTTAAGTATACGGAACTGTACAAGCAAGAGACGAAGTCACATGGCATTTTGAAGTTGTGTTGTGCATTTTTGAGGGACTAGGCTGAATTTAGGAAGATGGGTATAAGTTTTTTGGGGTATGGACAACCTCTCACATATGTAAAATATCAGTTCCCAAGTACTTGTCCTTTTTGTTACCTGTAATATTCCCCTTCCATGGGGCTGCCTCAAACTGTGCAAGTGTTGGAAAAACTCTGTAGTCTGTGTGTGTATGTGCATGATATTTTTCTTGTTGCTTGGCACAAGCTCCTGGTTTCCCTGCTGTTTCCAGCTTTCAGTTCAAGAGGTTTCTGTGAATACCCAAAGGCTCAGTTCAGCTGCCATTTGGAGATACTTTTTGGCTTCAAGTAAGACTTTAGGCTCCGCTGCATCTGACTACAATGCTGACTCCTAGTAGATCAACAGAGACATATTTTCAATTTCTACTAGCTGTTTGCAGCTCTTTGAAGAAATCTGAGCTCAAGAAGCTGGGTTAGTTTTTGTTTTCATGTGATACTCCTAATTTTGGTTTTGGTCTTAGTTCATGGTCCTTGGAAAGTTCTGCTTACATGTAATTACCTCATTTCACTTTTTGTTCCCTTCAGGTCTTTTTGCAAGTGCTGGTGCAGCATTGCAATAAACATTATTCTTACAAAGTTCCTGGAAAAGACTTTTCAAAAAATATTAAAGATCAGCAAGAATGAAACCATAATGCCAGCTGATTTTTTTTCTAATTGCTGATTATTTTTTTTTTTAGAATAACATGGCAAAGACACTGGTTACTATTAAATTACAAATATATCCACACATTTAAAGATTTGTTATGGTAATTCTGCTTTGAAGTCATGATTATGTAGGGAATAAATGTGTATGACACAAAGCAAATCACAAATATGTGTACTGAATGCTTTGTTCTTACAAACTTTTCCAGTTTTGAAGTTGATAGGATAAACCTTGTGATTGGCATGTGATGGTAGGCCAGGGACAGTAGTAAGTAGACAGAGTTGTTTAGCAGTAGTTTCACAGTGGTGTGGGTCTACATGACCTTGAATTGAGCTGCTCCAGATATGGAGCACTGGTAACTGTGTGGTCACTTAAAAAGAAAGTTTGCTGTTGAAAAACTGGCAAAGCATTAAATGCATATGTGTTTGTGTGTGTGTGTGTGTGTATATTTGTTTGAAGTCAAAACCATTCTATAAAATGTGAAGATAATTGGCTTGTTTCTGAGAACAAAATGGAAGGTCCTGGTGGAAGTGGTGTTGGGAATCCATCAGTTTATGTTGGTGCCTAACTTAGGGATTTGGCTATGGGTGGAGAACCCATGTCCTGTATCTTCAGTTCAGGATGAATCTAAATCACATCTGCATTTTTCTTACGAGTATCCAATGATGAGCTGTATGTGGGCAGGCTTAGATGGAGTTACAGACCTTTGTGACCAAAACTTTATGGAGCTTTTTGGAAGGCTCTGACCTTAGCAAGGCTGAAGTTTTTCTTACGTTCCTTTTCTTACCACGTGTAGCATGTGGGCAGGTTGTGGTGCTTGTGACAAAGCCAGGACAGTGTTTTCTCTTTTCAGACTATGCCCCATGGGCCAGTGCCTGTGTGATAGTGTCAAACAGGCTGATTTAAAAGGGCTGAAAGAGGTGCTGTGCTGATTACTCTCCTGCCCCCCCCTCACCTTTTTTTTTCCCCCCTTAAGACTAGGAAATAGTGCTTGAGTAAGTTGTGGAACAAAATGGTTGCAGGAAAATGCTTGCTATAATGTTAGAATGATACTGAGATCAGCTTATTCAGATGAAATGGAACATCTTGTGATATACAAGATGTAGAAATGCCAAATATGTCTTGATGAGCAGAAATGCACTTACATTAAGGACCTGGGAGTGTTTCCACTGGTAAAGAGATTTACAAAAACAGCCAGCCAATGACAAAATAATTCCTTTTTAACTCCACCAAAGTCCATTTTCCTATAAATATACAGATTAAAAGTACATGGAATGATACACAACATATTTACATTATTTTGTTGACTTAGTTTAATAATGTCTCAGGTCTAATTAAAACCCAGTGCTTGAAAAAACTAATTGTTACAGAAAAGTGTTTTTATATAGCTAGATTAGTAATAACTAGCAGTAGATGAATTCAATTTACATAAATTTCAGCCAAGAGAATATTTAGGCTCATACCACAGAGGATTGCTCTGAGCTGGGTAGTTAATATCATTATCTCCTCCCCTCGTTTAAGCAGTTTGGTTTACAATAATTGTGCAACACAAGAAGTGATTTCAGATTTTCCTCTTAATGGGGTTTTAATATAATCTGGTAGGGTTTTACTCATACAGAGTGGTTGGTTATTCCAGGCTTGCATGCACATGCTAAGATAGAAAGCACTGTGTAGCTGCTTCCACTTGGAGGAGAGGATACTTTTGCACCTTAAGGCTGAAGAAATTGCCTGGAATGTGAAGTGTAGGTCTACTGAAATTCTTAATGCTGTACACATTGCTGTGCTTCCTAAGCATTTCTATTCTGCTTCTAAAAGAAGACAAATACTTGCAAATGTACAAATCACAGAGCAATAGGCAGGAAGCTGTAAAACATGCTGTGCTAATGTTCTGTGGTGTTTGCCCGAGTGGTTCAGCTCCTTTGGCTTTGTCCCTGTAAGAAGCTGTAAAACATGCTGATGTTGGTGCTGATCGTTGTTCCCTGGCGTTTGCCCGAGTGGTTCAGCTCCTTTGGCTTTGTCCACCTGTCACTGAGGCTATCCTGCCCTGGAGATGTCCTTGGCTGAGAGCTGCACTCAGTTTGCAGTGACAATGTAATGCCTTGTGTGTGGGACACGGACTTCCAGAACACTGTGTCCTCACAAAATACTCTGCACTGCTGGACTGGACCAGCATTGTCTAATCTTTCTGTCTCTCATGAACCTCCTTTCTGCTTGAGACTGTGTGCTGGGAATCCTGTAAGAATATTCAGCCTGTGGTGTGAGTCAGTGTAGGCTGGTTCTTCTATGAACAGTTAGTGAGAAAGGAGCAGCCATCAGCTTCACCTTCAGCAAAGAGCTGAAACTGAGATCTGAAGGCCTGTGGTGACAGGAAGTCAGGAGGAAAATAGAGTATTCTGGGCACTGCTCTGGTGACCACTGGGCTCCCGAGCAAACAGCAAAGCCTTGTTTAAGACTTCCTCAGTGCTGTCTTGGATTAGTTTTTCTTTCTCTGTTGAAACATAATAGATGAGATGAGACACATGCCAGGTGCCCATCATTGCATTAATCTCCTTTGTCCAAACTAAGTATGTGTGGTTTTTTTCTGTTATCTGACCATCTCTCAGAGGGGACAAAGCTGGTTCATGCTGTTCAAAAAGCTCAAATAATTTTTGTAGCCTCCACATGGCTCATCAAATCAAGGCTAGTATTTTTATTTACATTGTCTTCCAATTGCAAGCTAAAGCTAGCAGAGAATAAAGTTAGCTTCTCACATACACCCAAAGCTTAGTTGGTTAATGAAAATGTATGGAATTCTTATCTAGCAGGCATAATGATTTACACAGCCTGACAGCACTAGTGCTGCAAGTAAATGCATTAGTCATAGTGTCCATTTTTCTTGCAAATTTGTGACACAGATTTAATTATGGGAATGACCAGCAACTTACAAATCTAATTTTGGTAGGCTGAGCCAACTTTTTTATTTTAATAACAATGGATTTTTTAGCAATGATTTCATTACCATTTAAAGAAATCCAACCATATGGAAATAACCAATTGGCTGAATTTATTTACTTTATTTTACCTTAATGGATGTTGAATGGTTTAGGTTTATCTGGGGCTTTTTTATTATCACTTTAAAAATCTTAGTTATTTTTAGGATAAATAGATCCTTATCTGTCTTAAGCATTTCTAGTATAAACATTGTAAATATTTTTCTAAAATCAGACACATGTTGGTATATCCCTTTGTTCTATCTTAATTGTGTCTTTGCAGTATGAAAAGGGGCAGAGCAGTCATCTGGGATTCCCTTTTTACTCTGCTAGCTGTTTACAAAGAAATCTTGCCAGGAAGTCTGTTCACAACAGGTGCTGAATTCTAGATTCAGTTCTGTTTAATTTCAAAGTGGAGCTGCTTCATGGAGAACCACTGCACTCTCAGAAGTGGTCTCCTCTTGCCCTGTGAGCAGTACAGAGGTGCTGCTGTCTGTGCTCCAGATTTGATTGGGGTAGTTCTCCAAGTCCTGGGCAAGTTCTCCCTCTTAATCGGCCACTAGGGAAGGCACCTTATCCTTGGAGGATTGTTTTTTGCATGAGTGGAAAGGAGATGGCAGATCTCTGCAGCTGTGAGTGTTTGGGCCAGATAGTATGGACCAGGCAGGAAAATTTGGTATTTCATGGAATTTAAATAGTCTTGGGAGCCACTTATGTTGCTTTACTGTAACTTATTTCATGGCTGATGCAGATCCCTTTTTGTTGTTTAATATCCTAATTTTGATTTCTTTGATGCTCAGATCTCTTTTTGTTGTTTAATATCCTAATTTTGATTTCTGCTAGCTGGAGCTGAAATCTCAAAGTAAACCTGGCCATCATTGGCTGTTTCCAGGTTTTTTGCCAAGTAACTTCTCAAAGCGCGTGTAGGCCTTCACTCTCACTGGGTACTCAAACTTCCAGGGTACAGCATGCTCTCATGAATACCTAAATTTGAGTTAGTGTGTACTATTTTGGTACAAGCAAGGCAGAATAACAAAGCTTCCTATGGAAGACATCCTTTAGCACAGGCTTGAAGACATACATTATTATTTTCAGGGATTGCTGGGCATGTGCACCCATTCCAGTATTCCTTTATTGATCATCTCTCTCCCTCCCAAAGCCAAACTGACAGAGTGGGTGTCAGATAGAATGAGCTGTATAATTTTTTACTAAATAAAACAATAATAAAAAAATCTGCCTGTCTATTTCTAATGCTGAACTCCTTAAAAAAATTTAAAAAGTATAAAGGTGCAGTACTCCAAAAGGAGTAAATGGGATCTTGCTTCCAAGGGATTGAGAGAAATTGGGTAGAGGGACAACTGGAAATGTGAGTATTGTAACACCCACTGTGTGGTCACACTCATGACACAGCTGATCTGAAAAGAGATTGAGTCAGTAGGGATTGGCAGAGCCAGCCAGCACAGAGAAGCAGTTAACAAATAACACTGCTGGTGGTTATCTTTGATATGTTACAGAGAAGGAGGGTAGGGAACAGTAACCAAGAAGAAAGAAAATGTGCTGGCAAAGTCTCAAAAAAAACTCTAGAAGGCCAATGATTAGTCCCTGGGGTTTTTTTTTTGTTTGTTTGGTTTTTTTGTTTTTTGGTCTCAAAAAAGACTCTAGAAGGCCAATGATTAGTCCCTGTTGTTTTTTTTTTACAGTGGCCAAGAGGAAAATGCCTTGAAATCTACCTAATAACAAAAAATGAAACCATTAGCTGTCAAATGTGTAGAAATTACGTGGGCTGTAGCTTGTCTCAGGGCTTTCTCAGTTTTCCCATTAGCTTTTGCAACTGATCATTTAATTCATCTTGCTTGGTCTTATGGGACTCAAGCAGTCAGTTCTGCCAAAAAAAGTTTGTTTAAAGATAGCAATAAGTAGGCCATTAAATACATCTCTTTGTATTATCTTTGAGGCCAAAAAATAAGCCACTGCTACCTTTCTAAAGATAAATATTCTGCTTTTCCCACTTCCTCATATGACAG